TCCAATTAATCCACATTTGTTTTAGTCCCATGAGAACAGAATTATTGATGTCATTTTGGGGCCGTTTTTGGGGATATGTGATGGCCATGGGTGACATTTTGTGTTCTTAATCCACGCTCATTTCAGAATCATTCGGGTTGGAAGGGACCTTAAATCTCATCCTGTTCTGACCCAATTAATTAACCAATTAATCTAATTAATCCATATTTGTTTTAGTCACATGAGAACAGAATTATTGAGGCCATTTTGGGGTCATTTTGGGGTCATTTTTGGAGATTTGGAAGGGCCATGGGTGACATTTTGTGTTCTTAATCTGCGCTCATTTCGGAATCATTTGGGTTGGAAGGGACTTGAAATCTCATCCTGTTCTGACCCAATTAATTAACCAATTAATCTAATTAATCCATATTTGTTTTAGTCACATGAGAACGGAATTATTGAGGCCATTTTGGGGTAATTTTTGGAGATTTGTGAGGGCCATGGGTGACATTTTGTGTTCTTAATCTGCGCTCATTTCAGAATAATTCGGTTTGGAAGGGACTTGAAATCTCATCCTGTTCTGACCCAATTAATTAACCAATTAATCTAATTAATCCATATTTGTTTTAGTCACATGAGAACAGAATTATTGAGGCCATTTTGGGGTAATTTTTGGAGATTTGTGAGGGCCATGGGTGACATTTTGTGTTCTTAATCTGCGCTCATTTCAGAATAATTCGGGTTGGAAGGGACTTGAAATCTCATCCTGTTCTGACCCAATTAATTAACCAATTAATCCAATTAATCCACATTTGTTTTAGTCCCATGAGAACAGAATTATTGATGCCATTTTGGGGTGATTTTTGGAGATTTGTGAGGGCCATGGGTGACATTTTGTGTTCTTAATCCACGCTCATTTCAGAATCATTTGGGTTGGAAGGGACTTGAAATCTCATCCTGTTCTGACCCAATTAATTAACCAATTAATCCAATTAATCCATATTTGTTTTAGTCACATGAGAACGGAATTATTGAGGCCATTTTGGGGTGATTTTGGGGCCGTTTTTGGGGAAAACAGCAGCAGGCAATGATGCCTTGATGTCCATCTCCGACATCTTGATATCATCTTCTATCACTTGATATCAATCTTTGATAACAGATTGATATAATCAATATTTTGATATCAAAACTTAAAAATATTTATATCAATCTTTGATATCAGTCTTGATACAAAGCTTGATCTTGATATCTTTAATGCTGATCTTGATACAAATCTTGATATTGATCTTTTTATTGGTATTTCAGTATCAATAGACATCTCGCAATCTTCTTGATATTGATCACATGATCTGGATATCAGGACATTGATCTTTTTATTTATCAATATCTTATCTCACTTTCTCCCTTGATATCTACTTTGACACATTGAAATTTATCTCCTTATCTTCACATCTATTTTGATATCTCAACATCTTTAATTAAGAGATTTATCTTCATATTTTAATGGTTTTCTATTTTTTTTTATCTTGAAATTCCTCAACGTCTTTCTACCCACCCCAATACCTTCATTTCTTTATATTTTAGGATCTTTTCTTGATGTCTTGACCTTGAGCTCCACCTTGACCACTGTCCCACCACACCCTGGGGACACCAATGACCCCACCACCCCCTGGGGACACCAATGACCCCTCCCCACATCCCACCCCACCCCAGGGGCACTCACCATCCAGCCTGAGGTATTTGAAGCCACGATAAGCAAAATAATCCTCCATGATGGTCATCAAGGAGGTCATCTGGCAGAAGAGCAGCACCTTGTGGTTGGTGGCCCGGAGTTTGGGCAGGATCCGGTCCAGGAGCTCGAACTTCCCGGAGGCACGGTATAAATCCAACCTGGGGTGGATAAAAATTATCAGAATGAGAGGAAAAAACGAGATTTGAGGCTGAAAATTTGGTGTTTCCCCCTTGTCGGGATCATCTGGAATCATGAGGTGGGAACGGTTCATCCTCCATCCCTAAAAACCGTTCTGAGTTCGTAAATTCACAGATTTCAACATTAATCCCAAAATTGGTCACTCACCCCTGCACGATCCCGCCCGTGAACCCCAAGTGCTCCGAGAAGGATTCCTGAAATGGGAGAGGAGAAATGGTGTCAGAAATCAGAAGAAACTGCCCCAAAAAATCTGGAGCTGCCTTCAGGAGCCCCAGTTCCCTCAAGAAGCTGGCGAGAAGGAGGACGGATTTTTTGGGTGGAAAACAGAAGAATGGAAGGGTTTGATTTGGTTCGTCTTTGTTGGGTTCGACCCTGTTGGGTTTATCCCTGGTTTTGGTTTATCCCAGTTTTGTTGGGTTTAATTATCCCTTTTTTTTGGTTCATCCCTGGTTCTCCTGGGTTTACCCCTGTTAAGTTTGACCCCGTTGGGTTTATCCCTGGTTTTGATTTGTCCCAGTTTTGTTGGGTTTAACCCCGTTGGGTTTATCCTTTTTTTGGTTCATCCCTGGCTCTCCTGGGTCTAACCCTGTTGGGTTTATCCCTGGTTTTGGTTTATCCCAGTTTTGTTGGGTTTAGCCCCGTTGGGTTTATCCTTTTTGTTGTTCATCCCTGGTTCTCCTGAGTTTAACCCTGTTGAGTTTAACCCTGTTTGGTTTAACCCCGTGTTCATCCCTGGCTCTCCCAGGTTTAACCCTTTAGGGTTTATCCCCATTGAGTTTATCCCTATTTTTGGTTTAACCCTCTTGAGTTTATCCCTGTTTGGTTTAACCCTTTTTTTGTTCATCCCTGGCTCTCCCAGGTTTAACCCTTTAGGGTTTATCCCCATTGAGTTTATCCCTATTTTTGGTTTAACCCTCTTGAGTTTATCCCTGTTTGGTTTAACCCTTTTTTTGTTCATCCCTGGCTCTCCCAGGTTTAACCCTTTAGGGTTTATCCCCATTGAGTTTATCCCTATTTTTGGTTTAACCCTCTTGAGTTTATCCCTGTTTGGTTTAACCCTTTTTTTGTTCATCCCTGGCTCTCCCAGGTTTAACCCTTTAGGGTTTATCCCCATTGAGTTTATCCCTATTTTTGGTTTAACCCTCTTGAGTTTATCCCTGTTTGGTTTAACCCTTTTTTTGTTCATCCCTGGCTCTCCCAGGTTTAACCCTTTAGGGTTTATCCCCATTGAGTTTATCCCTATTTTTGGTTTAACCCTCTTGAGTTTATCCCTGTTTGGTTTAACCCTTTTTTTGTTCATCCCTGGCTCTCCCAGGTTTAACCCTTTAGGGTTTATCCCCATTGAGTTTATCCCTATTTTTGGTTTAACCCTCTTGAGTTTATCCCTGTTTGGTTTAACCCTTTTTTTGTTCATCCCTGGCTCTCCCAGGTTTAACCCTTTAGGGTTTATCCCCATTGAGTTTATCCCTATTTTTGGTTTAACCCTCTTGAGTTTATCCCTGTTTGGTTTAACCCTTTTTTTGTTCATCCCTGGCTCTCCCAGGTTTAACCCTTTAGGGTTTATCCCCATTGAGTTTATCCCTATTTTTGGTTTAACCCTGTTGGGTTTAACCCTGCTGGGTTTATCCTTTTCTTTTTGTTGATCCCTGGCTCTCCCGGGTTTAACCCTTTAGGGTTTATCCCCATTGAGTTTATCCCTATTTTTGGTTTAACCCTGTTGGGTTTAACCCTTTTTTAAAATTTATCCCTTGCTCTCCTGAATTTAACCCAGTTGAGTTTAACCCTGCTGGGTTTAATTGGGTTTATCCCTGTTGGGTTTATCCATTTTTTTGTTGATCCCTGGCTTTCCCAGGTTTAACCCTTTAGGGTTTATCCCCATTGAGTTTATCCCTATTTTTGGTTTAACCCTGTTGGGTTTAACCCCGTTGGGTTTATCCTCGTTAGAGTTATCCCTGGTTTTGGATTCTCCCAGTTTTGTTGGGTTTAACCCTGTTGGGTTTAACCCTGTTGGGTTTATCCCTTTTTTTTTGTTCATCCCTGGTTCTCCTGGTTTTAACCCTGTTGGGTTTAACCCTGTTGGGTTTAACCCTTTTTTAAAATTTATCCCTGGCTCTCCTGAATTTAACCCAGTTGAGTTTAACCCTGCTGGGTTTAATTGGGTTTATCCCTGTTGGGTTTATCCATTTTTTTGTTGATCCCTGGCTCTCCCAGGTTTAACCCTTTAGGGTTTATCCCCATTGAGTTTATCCCTATTTTTGGTTTAACCCTGTTAAGTTTAACCCTGTTTGGTTTATCCCTTTTTTTGGTTGATCCCTGGCTCTCCCGGGTTTAACCCTTTAGGGATTTTGCCTTTTTGGGTTCATGCCCCTGGATTCATCCCCGTTTCTGCCCGCCGGCCCCACCTCAATGTGCTGGAACATGTAGGGGTGGTTGCAGATCTTGCGCAGCTGCATGATGGTGTTCATCAACGTCTTCGTGCCACCTTTCCCCTGCCAGGAACCATCCAGGAGGTTAAAAAACCCAAATTAATGCTGGGCTTAAAAAACCCAAATTAGTGCTGGCTTCCATCTATTCACCAGTCCAGTATTCCCAGGAATTTTTGGGATCATTGATTGGGAGTTGACGGCCCCGTAAAAGGGGCTAAAGAGATATTAAAATGAAATTTAAAAATTTATAAATAAATTTATTTCAATAAATTTAAATTTACTTAAAGCTGAATTTATTTAAGTAAATTTAAAATTATTTCAATAAATTTAAATTTATTTCAATAATTTATTTAAAATAAATTATTTTTTTAAAAATAAATTTTAATTTATTTAAATAAATTTCCACCTCCAGCTTTCAGCTGAGATCAAAGTATCTTTTCCCAATTATTTTGTGGTTTTATTCTCATTCTGGCTTTGAGGAGGATCACCCAAACACGTTGGGAGCCCAAGCCACCCCAGAGTGGAGACAAACCCATGCTCAGCATTCCCAAATTCCCAATCCAGACCTTCTTGTCCTTCTCGGAGCCGTCGGTGAGGAGGACACCCTTGGCCTGCATGTGCCGGTAGAGGACGCGCTGCAGCGCCGACATGTCGCACTTGATGACGTACTCCACCTGCCAGGAGCCAACGGGGACCGTCACCGTGAGCATCGGGCCCAGCAATTGCCAGAGGGATCCAACCCAAACATCTGCTCAACCCAACCCAACCCAACCCTAACACGCGCTCAACCCAAGCCAACCACCTGCCCAACCCAACCCAAACATTGGTTCAACCCAACCCAAGCACCTGCTCAACCCAACCCAACCCAACCCAACCCTAACACGTGCTCAACCCAACCCAACCACCTGCCCAACCCAAGCCAACCATTGGTTCAACCCAACCCAACCCAATGCTCAACCCAACCCAACCCAAGCACCTGCTCAACCCAACCCAAGCACCTGCTCAACCCAGGCCAACCATTGGTTCAACCCAAGCCAACCACTGGTTCAACCCAACCCAAGCACCTGCTCAACCCAACCCAACCATTGGTTCCAACTTCTCCTAGATCCATTCCAGACACTGATCCACCTCCCACAGCTCCAGGGACACTTCCAACTTATCCAGATCCATTCAAGACACCGATCCACAGATCCAGGAACACTCCCAACCGCTCCAGATCCATTCCAGACACACACCCACAGCTCCAGAACCACTTCCAACTTCTCCTAGATCCATTCCAGACACTGATCCACCTCCCACAGCTCCAGGGACACTTCCAACTTATCCAGATCCATTCAAGACACCGATCCACAGATCCAGGAACACTCCCAACCGCTCCAGATCCATTCCAGACACACACCCACAGCTCCAGAACCACTTCCAACTTCTCCTAGATCCATTCCAGACACTGATCCACCTCCCACAGCTCCAGGGACACTTCCAACTTATCCAGATCCATTCAAGACACCGATCCACAGATCCAGGAACACTCCCAACCGCTCCAGATCCATTCCAGACACACACCCACAGCTCCAGAACCACTTCCAACTTCTCCTAGATCCATTCCAGACACTGATCCACCTCCCACAGCTCCAGGGACACTTCCAACTTATCCAGATCCATTCAAGACACCGATCCACAGATCCAGGAACACTCCCAACCGCTCCAGATCCATTCCAGACACACACCCACAGCTCCAGAACCACTTCCAACTTCTCCTAGATCCATTCCAGACACTGATCCACCTCCCACAGCTCCAGGGACACTTCCAACTTATCCAGATCCATTCAAGACACCGATCCACAGATCCAGGAACACTCCCAACCGCTCCAGATCCATTCCAGACACACACCCACAGCTCCAGAACCACTTCCAACTTCTCCTAGATCCATTCCAGACACTGATCCACCTCCCACAACTCTAGGAACACTCCCAACTTCTCCTAGATCCATTCCAGACACTGATCCACCTCCCAGAGCTCCAGAACCCCTTCCAACTTCCCCTAGATCCATTCCAGACACTGATCCACCTCCCACAGCTCCAGGGACACTTCCAACTTGTCCAGATCCATTCAAGACACTGATCCACAGATCCAGGAACACTCCCAACCCCTCCTAGATCCATTCCAGACACCGATCCACCTCCCACAGCTCCAGAGCCACTTCCAACTTGTCCAGATCCATTCCAGACACTCATCCATAGCTCCAGAACCACTTCCAACTTCTCCTAGATCCATTCCAGACACCGATCCACCTCCCAGAGCTCCAGAACCCCTCCCAACCCCTCCAGATCCATCACCACCAACCTCAAATCCACCCCCAGCACCCCCCACCCTCTCCCTGACCCTCCCCTTTTCCAGCACCTTCTCCCCGGTCATGGCGAAGGGCGCGTTGAACCACTGCTCGAAGGTGCTGCAGCTCTTGAAGATGGTGGGGAGGAGAAAGTTGAGGAGGGCCCAGAGCTCGGGGAGTTTGTTCTGGAGGGGGGTCCCGGTGAGGAGCAGCCGTCGCGGGGCCACGTAGTGGGTGTTGAGGACCTGGGTCAGCTTGCAGTGGTGGTTCTTCATGCGGTGGCCTTCGTCCACGATCATGTACTTCCAGCGGATCTGGGGGAAGCGGAGAAATGGAGAAGAACATCTCAGGTGGGCACCAGCCAGAACTGGTTTTTAATTAATTTTAATTAATTAATTTTTTCAGAATTTTAGCAGAATTTTCTCAGAATTTCAGCAGAATTTTCTCAGGACCTTCAGGAATTCATTGAGGTTACTAAGACAAACTAGATAAAATAAGAAAGAAACTCAAAAAATACGAAAAAAAACTCAAAAAATAAGCAAGAAACTCATAAAATAAGCAAGAAGAAGCTGAGAAACCAAATTCCACAATCGAACGAGCAAAAATGGGATTTTCATGGATTTTGTGGGTTTTCATGGATTTTCGTTGATTTTTGTGGATTTTTGAGGATTTGGAGCTCCAACCCATTTGGATTTGGAGCTGGATTTGGAATTCCCAAAAAAAGGGGTGGAGGGGGGAGGTGAGGAGGTTTTGGGGGCTCCTGGTGCTGGGGAACGAGCAAAAATGGGATTTTCATGGATTTTTGTGGGTTTTCATGGATTTTCGTTGATTTTCGTGGATTTGGAGCTCCAACCCATTTGGATTTGGGGATGGATTTGGAATTCCCAGAAAAAGGGATGGGAGGGGTGGTTATCCAGCAAGGTGAGGAGGTTTGGGGGGGTTCCTGCTGCTGAGGAACGAGCAAAAATGGGATTTTCGTGGATTTTCATGGATTTGGAGCTGGGACCCAGGGCAGCTTCCTCCAGAGCAGGAAGAGGAAAAGGGAAGCTTGGAATGGAAATGGAATGAATGGAAATAAAATCCAAGGAAACGGGATCCGAGGAATGAATCCAAGGAAATTAAATCCAAGGAATTAATCCAAGGAGATGGAATAGAAGGAATGAATCCAAGGAAATGGAATCCAAGGAAAGGGGATCCCAAGGAAATGAAATACAGGGAATGAATCCACGGGAATAAAATCCAAGGAAATGGGACCAAACGGAATGGGATCCAAGGGAATGGATCCAAGGGAATGGGATCCAAGGAAATGGGATCCAAGGCAAGGGGATCCCAAGGAAATGAAATACAGGGAATGAATCCACGGGAATAAAATCCAAGGAAATGGGACCAAACGGAATGGGATCCAAGGGAATGAAATCCAAGGGAATGCAATCCAAGGGAATGGAATCCAAGGAAAGGGGATCCCAAGGAAATGAAATACAGGGAATGAATCTAAGGGAATAAAATCCAAGGAAATGAGATCCAAGGAAATGGAATCCAAAGGAATGGAATCCAAGGAAATGGATCCAAGGGAATGGAATCCAAGGAAATGGATCCAAGGGAATGGAATCCAAGGATATGGGACCAAATTAAATGAAATCCAAGGAAATGGATCCAAGGGAATGGGATCCAAGGATATGGATCCAAGGGAATGGGATCCAAGGATATGGGATCAAATTAAATGAAATCCAAGGAAATGGATCCAAGGGAATGGGATCCAAGGAAATGGATCCAAGGGAATGGGATCCAAGGGAATGGATCCAAGGGAATGGATCCAAGGAAATGGGATCCAAGGGAATGGATCCAAGGGAATGGATCCAAGGGAATGGAATTCAGGGGAATGGGATCCAAGGGAATGAAATCCAAGGAAATGGGATCCAAGGAAATGGAATCCAAGGAAATGGGATCCAAGGGAATGGATCCAAGGGAATGGAATCCAAGGATATGGGATCAAATTAAATGAAATCCAAGGATATGGATCCAGGGGAATGGAATCCAAGGAAATGGAATCCAAGGATATGGAACGCAATGGATGAATCCAAGGGAATGGGATCCAAGGAATTTGGCACTTACCTTGTAGGAGACCTTGACCACGGAAGGAGCCCACTTGTCGAACTCGTAGGCCCAGTTGGACAAAGTCCTGCGAGGAAAGAGAGACGGAAAAAGGGTGGGAATTTTGGGAATGTGGGGCTGGAGAGAGGCGCGGGACCGCCCGGGCACTCACGAGAGCGGGACGATGATGAGGAAGGGGCCGTTGATCCTCTTGTGCTCCATGAGGTACGTGATGAGGGCGATGGTCTGGATGGTCTTCCCCAGTCCCATCTCGTCGGCCAGGATCCCGTTGAGGTTGTTGTTGTAGAGGGACACCAACCATTCCAGGCCTTTGATCTGTGGGGATGCAGGTTAGGCTGGGAAAATGAGCCCCTCCCCCCCTGCCTGGGGGTGTATGCAAATGAGGTGGTAATGAGGTTGGTAATTATTCAGAGTCTGGAATTGAGATATTTCATGGAGTCACATGGATCTCCATGGGTTTGGGTCTGAGCAGGGAGTGAATCCAGCTCATAACCCCACTCTGGCTTAATTATTAATTACTAATTATTAGAATAACTATTAATTATTAACTAATTATAAATAATTATTAATTATTTATAATAAATTAATATTATTTTAATAACTCATTTGTTTATATCACTCATCCCTCTCCAGCTTGTTATTCCATCCCACCTCTGGCTCCTTATCCTGCTGCAGCCATTGTCACACCCCAGATCTTCATCCAGCTCCAGATCCCACCTCAGATCTTCATCCAGCTCCTCAATCCCATTGTCCCACCTCAGATCTTCATCCAGCTCCTCAATCCCATTGTCCCACCTCAGATCTTCATCCAGCTCCAGATCCCACCTCAGATCTTCATCCAGCTCCAGATCCCACCTCTGATCTCCATCCAGCTCCAGATCCCACCTCAGATCTCCATCCAGCTCCAGATCTACCTCAGATCTCCATCCAGCTCCTCAACTCCTTTGTCCCATCCCCGATCTTCATCCCACACTGCACCCAGCTCCAGATCCACCTCAGATCTCCATCCAGCTCCTCAATCCCATTATCCCACCTAAGATCTTCATCCCACCCTGCATCCAGCTCCAGATCCCACCTCAGATCTCCATCCATCTCCAGATCCCACCCTCCCATCCCCGTTTTCCCCCACGTCCCCACACCTGGTACTGCTTGAGGACACCGTTGACCATCAGGGCCGACTGCTTGTCCACGCGCTCGGTGACGGCGTGAGCCACGGCGTAGTAGGACTGGAGTCCCCGTGCCAGCGCCTGAGACACCCCATACTCATCATCCACGTCCTGCTTGGCGTTCCTGCCCGGAAAACCGGGATAACGGCATGGACCAACTGGGAATGGGGGAAAATTGGGATAAAACTGGGATAACGGGTCATGGACCAATGGGAAGGGGGGAAAAATGGGGGAAAAATGGGAAAAAATGGGGGAAAAACTGGGATAAAGGGTCATGGACCACCCGGGATGGGAAAAAAATGGGATAAAATGGGGAAAAACTGGGATAAAAGTCACGGACCACCTGGAATGGGGGAAAATTGGGATAAAATGGCATAAAAACCGGGATCAAGGGTCATGGACCACCCAAAATGGGAAAAAAATGGGATAAAACGGGGAAAAACTGGGATAAAGGATGATGGGAGGAGGAAATGTGTGAATAAACGGGATAAAAAAGGGGGAAATTTGCGGAAAAACCAGGAATAACGGAAGAGAGGAAGATCTTGAGAGAGAAAACCACGGATGAGCGAGGGGATTCCCGCTCCTCACGGGCAAAAACGGGAAAACAAAAGAGAGAAAATGAAAATTTTGCATTTTTGGGAGCTTTGAAGGAACGACGCCGTCGGGGGGAAATTCTCGGGAAGCGCTTTTCCCAATAAAATTCCTGCTAAAATCCCACATTTTGGGATGATTTATGGGAAAAAAGAATTGGGATCGGGGGAATGCTGGGGTAGGGAAGGCGGAGGAGGAAGAGGAAGAGGAAGAGGAGGAGGAAGGAGGGAGGAAGGCTCACTCGATGATGTGTCGCGCGTCCACCTCCGAGACGTCGTCGCTGTCGGGATCCGGAATTTTCTTCTTCTCCTCCACGGGCAGCGCCGGTTGGGTTGGTTGGGGCTGCTCCTCTTCCTCCTCCTGGGGAGGAAAAAATGGAATTTCAGTTCAAAAAGATGAAGAAGTTAATTGGTAATCATGAGGTTATGGGGGTGGAGTTAATTGAAAGGGTAAAATATTTTATTTTGCTATTCTGAGTCATTTTAATTCATTTTATTTCATTTTTCTGACCCATTTTATTCCAAGTTATTTCACTTTTCTGCCTCATTTTATTTTACAATTTTATCCCATTTTAATCCATTTTATTTTATTATTCTGCCCCCTTTTATTTTACTTTTCTGCCCCATTTTATTTGACTTTTCTGCCTCATTTTATTCCAGGTTATTTTATCTTCCTCCTCCTGGGGAGGCCATTTTATTTTATTATTCTGCCCCCTTTTATTTTACTTTTCTGCCCCATTTTATTTGACTTTTCTGCCTCATTTTATTTTACAATTTTGCCCCATTTTAATCTATTTTATTTTACAATTCTATCCCATTTTATTCCACATTTTCCCCCCGTTTTGCCCCATTTTATTCCATGTTATTTCACTTTTCTATCCCCTTTTATTTTACAATTTTGCCCCATTTTATTCCATTTTATTTTACAATTTTACCCCATTTTATTCCATTTTATTTTACAATTTTACCCCATTTTATTCCATTTTATTTTACAATTTTACCCCATTTTTATTCCACGTTTCCCCCCCGTTTTTCCCCATTTTATTCCATTTTCCTGAGCTGCAAACACCCATTCCCAAGCTCTTTTTTGCTCTTTCCAGAACATTCCCAGCGGGGCCTTCCTCACCTCCTCCTCCTCCTCGGAGCCGCTCTCCTCGCTGTCGGAGCGCGGAGCCACCTCGTACCTGGGGGGGAAAAATGGGAATTCCACGTGGAACTGGGCCCTGGAATTCCCAGTATTCCCAGTCCCAGTATTCCCAGTGTTCCCAGTATTCCCAGTACCCCCATTCCCAGTATTCCCAGTATTCCCAGGTATTCCCAGTATTCCCAGTGTTCCCAGTACCCCCATTCCCAGTATTCCCAGGTATTCCCAGTATTCCCAGCCCCCCATTCCCAGTATTCCCAGGTATTCCCAGTATCCCCATTCCCAGTATTCCCAGTGTTCCCAGTATTCCCAGTCCCATTCCCACTATTCCCAGCCCCCCATTCCCAGGTATTCCCAGTGTTCCCAGACCCCATTCCCACTATTCCCAGTGCTCCCAATATTCCCAGTCCCAGTGTTCCCAGCACCCCC